TATATATATATATATATATTTGCTTAGGCAAACACTTGTCTTCTCTATGGGTCACTTTCCTGTGTTCTTCTCTTTTTTGTTATTTGACACAGTCTTACATAGTCAGGCTACCTTGAAGATGGTGGAGGAAGATGACCTTGAACTCGTGATCCCCCTTCCTCCCCTCTCAAGTGTTGGGAATACACATGGGTGCCACCATAACTGGCTTTACATGGTGCTGAGGATCAAGCCCAGGGCTTCATTCATGACAGGCAAGCGCCTACCTCACCAGTCCTCAGCCTTCCTAGCCTCACTCTGTAGACCAGGCTGGCCTCGAACTCAGATCAGCCTGCCTCTGCCTCCCAAGTGCTGGGATTAAAGGGTGTGCACTACCACTGCCCAGTGAGACTGTTTTGTTTTAAAGGTGTGGTGGAGAGATGATGACTCAGAGGCTAAGAATGCTGGCTATTTTTCCAGAGGACCTGAGTGTGATTTCCAGCGCCCACACAACTGCTTGTAGCTCCAGCTGCAGGAGATCTAGCGCCCTCTTCTGGCTGTGGCAGGCACATGCACACAGTCACAAAAATAAAAAAAGCTGTTTTGTTTTTTGGTTTATTGAGATAGACTCTCACTGTGTAGCCCTGGCAGTCTTGGAACTCACTATGTAGACCAGGCTGGCCTCAAACTCAACAAGGATCTACCTGCCTCTGCCTCCCAAATGCTAGGAGTGTGTGTGCTTCCCCCAGTACACGTTCTAGAGAAACTCCACACTAGTCTATACTGAACCAGGATGTATAAATGTCTCTTTTCCTAAATGATATTACACATAATTTCTACTCCCTTTCCATGAACAGCAAGCAGCTCTTAGCCTGGCCACAGTGGCACTGCCTGTAACCCTACCTCTTGGGGAAGATAATTAGGAGTTTGAGTTGGGAGCCCGACTGAGCAACACAGTGAGATCCCCTCACAAGAAAGAAAGAAACAAACAAAAAAAGAACTCTCGTGCTGCGCTCATGAGAACTAATAATTAGAGATTGACTAAATCTAGAAAAACATGAGAATGAAGATGACGGGGAATGCTGGAGAGTAGGGTTCTCTCTTTCCCGTACTCGAACCCCAGAACCCTGCCGCCTCCCCATCTCCTTCACAAAACTCTGTGCCTCCCTTTAAAAATGTAGGTAGAGGGGGCTGGAGAGATGGCTCAGAGGTTAAGAGCACTGGCTGCTCTTCCAGAGGTCCTGAGTTCAATTCCCAGCTGACGGCCATCTATAATGAGATCCGGTGCCTTCTTCCAGCCTGCAGGCATACATGCAGGAAGAACATTGTATACATAATAAATAAAAAAATCTTAAAAAAAAAAGAAAAAGAAAAAAATGTAGGTAGATATACTCCATTGGACTTGGATTTGACACCCAGCACCACAAACAGATGTGTGTGTACTCACTGGAATTGCAGTTTCTAGTTAGTGTTGTTCATGCTCTTTTACCTAATTTATATCAGTTTGTATATCTGCGATGTTTTACTTCTGTGGCCCTAAATTCACTGGACAGACTATAAAAATGCAACAGTATATCCGGGGACGGGGGAGCGCATGACTTTTATGCATCTCAAGATTTAACTGTTGCCTCTCCTCCATTTCGGAGACAGTCATGTAGCCTAGGATAGCCTCACACTCACCAGGTAGCCAATGACGACCTTGAATTTCCGGTCTTCCTGAGCGCTGGGATTACCAGTGTGTGCCACCATGCCTGGTTTTAAACTGTTTTTATATTTTTTTTAAATGTTTTCCTTTTGAAGCTCCAGGACTATTTTATCAGAGTTTGAAAGGAAAACAACATTGGAGCGATCAATGTTGGCAGATGCCCGGAGGAGGAGGTGGATTAAGAGGCAGAAAGAAAGTTAATGCCTTTTGAGTTAGGACCCTAGAAAGCAGGCAGATCTGTCAACAGAGGTCTGCAGGCAGCTGCCCCAGGGAGAGAGACTCTCCTCCTCGCAGAGAAAAAGTGAGAATGTCCAAGTGAGGGAAATGTTGCTTAGGATCTAAGATAGCAACCAAGGAAGAGAGAAAAGAGGAGGGGGAATCATTCTTTTTTTGTTAGCACTCAGAAAAGTGGGTAAGCTTAGCTGTGAAGATGTGCAAACAACTGCCAAACTTACCTGATGTTTTCCTGGTGTGTAGTTGAGCCTCCTTGGTCAACCCCAGAGCAGGCTTTCTAACAGGGTTTCACTATGCAGCCCTAGCTGGCTTGGAATTCCGTATAGATCAGGTATGTCTGGAACTGTGGCAATCCTCTTGAGTGCTAAGAAGACAAGTGTGAACCTCAATTCCCATAGTCCTACAATAGTCTTGGTATTTAAGATACTTTAGATTTCAAGCCTGGTGGTGGTGGTGGTGGTGGTGGTGCTGGTGGTGGTGGTGGTGGTGGTGCACACCTTTAATCCCAGCACTTGGGAGGCAGAGACAGGTGGATCTCTGAGTTCGAGGTCAGCTGCCTACTGTACAGAGTGAGTTCCAGGATAGGTTCCCAATATAGAAAGTGAAATCCTGTCTCAAAAAGCCAAAAAGAGAGAAAGAAAGAGATGGTTTAAATTTATCATTATTGAGTGTGTATGTGCACTCGGACAAACATGTACCATGACGTAGGTACAGAAACCAGAGGACACCTCTGGAGAGTTGGTTCTCTCTCTACTGTGGGTTCCGGTTTTGAACTCAGGTTTTCAGGTGTGTGCAGCAGGTATCTTTACCAGCTGAGCCATCTTGCCATCCTGTAGTATAATCTTGACTGTAACTAAGATAGTTTTCAGAAATGTTCTCTTAAGGTCTTCAGTGTTAGTTACATGACACTCACAGAGATACACATTAGGAGACAGTAATCAGTCATAATGGGTCCACAGCTGAGGGATTACTAAGTGTCCAGAACTTCCCTACAAGATGCATAGAAGTTGCTTCATTTAGTTTCACTTACAGTGATAGGAAATAGGTAATTATTTGTTTCATTTTACAAATGAGAAAACATCTGACATACAAGAGACTATTTAAAAAAAAAAAAAGATAAAGATTGGCCAGCAGAGGCTGCATAGTGAAACTTGGCTCAAAATAAAATACAATAATTTTCCTTTTTAAAAATTAGACAGGCAGTGGTAGCTTACACCTTTAATCCCAGCACTTGGGAGCCAGAGGCAGGTAGATCTCTGACTTCAAGGTCAGCCTGTTCTACAGAATGAGTTCCAGGACAGCCAGGACTGTTTCACAGAAAAACTCTGTCTGGAAAAAACAAAAAAGAAAATAATAGAACCCAATTATTATTTTGGGGTTTGGGAGTGGGGTTTCTGTGTATAACAGCCCTGGCTGTCTGCAACTTGTTTTGTAGACCAGGCTGTCTTCAAACTCACAGGTCTGCCCGCCTCTGTGGTTAAAGGTATGCATCACCATGCCTGGCTATTTATTTATTTATTTATTTGTTTGTTTATTTATTTATTTGAGCGGAGGTCTCACTATACTGCCTGGCTAGTCTGGAACTGGCCACAGTGTGCTACCACTTAATATCATTTAGGATGACTCTTCTAAAACCACAAGAATGAGTTGGGATATGATGAATGAAAGTTTCTGAGGGTGGAAAAGGAAGTTCTTGAAAAATTCAGCGTCCCTGAGAGATGCTATTATTTACTTATTTACTGTATTGGGCTGCCGTTTCCATTCTCAATTGCAATTCCCACATTGAGGCTGTTCCCACCCTTCCTGTGTCCCTTGAGTTGAGCAGGCACTTCCTGTCCTGTTGTAAATGAAAGTTAGAGTTGGGGGTAGCTGTGCATTTGTGTATTTACTCTGCAGAATGCTGGTACTGTCTGTTCCGCTATCACAGCAAAATAGTGACGGGAAAACCAGAGAGCAGAGCTTCATTGTAGAGTTTGGGTTTAATGTCCATTGTGACAAAGATAGTTAATTTACTTCTGGAGAGTGTGTGCTGGCAGCCAGGAGGCCTGAGGAAGGGCTCTGAAGCCGGTCAGTCTCCTTCCCCACTCTAGTTGGATGGGTAGGCCTCCTTGGAGTCATTGTTAACGTTTATTTTCTTGTTACCACTGCTCCTTCGAGGGCATATTGGAGGTGAGTGTTACCGAGGCAGTGTGAGATTGACTCCTAAATTCTGTTCTTTCTTTCCTAAAAAGTTTCATATTTTCCTCCTTTGTGAAACATGTTTTTTAAAGAGTTGTGGTTCGTTTGTTTGACAGGTCAGAGACATCCTAACTCCGTGAACTTCATTCAGCTCGGCTATCAATTCCACTCCTGGTGAGTTTTCCTACTTGTTTAAGCTTCAGGGGTTTTAAGGGCTAAGAAATAATAGAATAAAGAGTCAAAGAGTTGGACAAGATGGTATAATCTGTGACCTAGCCCTCAGGAAAGCAGGCATGAGGATTAAGAATTCTTTATCTCTGGCTATGTAGAACTCAGTGACAGCTTGGGCTGCTTGAGACCCTGTCTCAAAAGTCTCAAACATGGCTGGAGAGCGGATTCAGTGGTTAAGAGCTAATCCAGAGGACCCAGACTTGATTCCCAGCACCCGCAGGGTGGCTCACAAACATCTGTAGCTCCAGTTCTAGCGAATCTGATGCCCTCTTCTGAACTCTGTAGGCACTAGGAACACATGCCATATATAATACTCATAAATAATTAAATAAAATTAACTTTAAAAAAGAAAGCATCAAGTGTAAGCTGGGAGGGTGGGATTGTGGCTCAGGGGTAGAGTGCTTGGTCATCTAGATCTGCCAAAAGACATGGTCAAAACCAAACCAAACAAGCGCATAAACAAAATGAGGCATGATTGTGTGTGCCAATAATCCCGCACTAAGGTGTCTGGGGAGGAGGAAACTGAGTCTGGGGTCTGTGAGAGCTACAGAGAAAGACCCTGTCTTACATAAATAAGTAAATAAATAATAAAATTAAAGAAGACAGCTTTCACTTGGGCTGAAGACATTGCTTTGTATAGCCTGGTGAGTGGTAGAGGATACTGGAGCCTTTGGTTTTGATCTTTGGTATCACAAAATTAAAAAAAGGGATGGCTCACTGGTTAAGAGCACTGATCATTCTTCCAGAGGTTCTGAGTTCAATTCCCAGCAACCACATGGTGGCTCACAACCATCTGTAATGAGATCTGGTGCCCTCTTCTGGCCTGCAGACATATAGGAAGACAGAACACTCTATACATAATAAATAAATAAATCTTAAAAAAAAAAAAAAAAAAGATCAGGAGGGAAGTGGTGGATGCCTTTAATCCCAGCACTCGGGAGGCAGAGACAGGTAGATCTCTGTGAGTTCAAAGCCAGCCTGGTCTCCAGAAAGAGTTCCAGGACAGCTAGGGCTACACTGAGGAACCCTATTTCCAAAAACAAAACAAAACAAAAAGTTAAATAATAATAAAATAAAAAGGCTTTCACTTGTTCAAAAAAATCACAAAGCACTGAGCTTCATGAAATTGCTCTGATTGATGATTTTTGTTTGTTTGTTGCTTTTTTTCTGGGATTAAAAGTGTGAGCCCCCATGTCTGGCTGAGGATGCCTTCATAAGTATGAACTCCTTGCTGAGAGAATCTGAAATGGGAATGCTGGCATAGCCTGTTGGTATGGCCCAGAAGGAACAGAACAAAGGATCTGAAATTATCTTCCATCATATATTTAATTCATATCTGTTCTTTGGTGTACTCACCTTTGTTCTCTTTTGCTACATTGTGTGTGTGTGTGTGTCTCTGTGTGTGTGTGTGTGTGTGTGTGTGTGTTGGGGTGTGCATACCACAGCATGTGTGGAGATCAGAGAACAACTTTCAGAGTGGGTTCACCTTTTACTATGTGGGTAAATTGAATCCAGATCTTTGGGCACCTTCACTGTTGAGCCATCATCCAAGAAAAAAAAAAACAAAAACAAAGTATAGCCTAGGCTGCCCTGCACTTGTGATCCTCCTGCCTCATCTCAGGCTGGCCTCACCCCTTTGGTTACAGCTTTTACACAGTGCATCACCATTCCCAGGCCATGATCTGTCTTTTCCATCAGCATCGTTGCTTTATTTATTTATTTATATATTTACTTATTTATCTGGATCCACTTTTTGGGCTGGAGAGACAGCTCAGCACTTAAGAGCACTGGCTGCTCTTCCAGACGACCATGGTTTAGTTCCCAGCACCCACATGGCAATTCATAGCTGCCTTTAACTCCAGTCCCAGGGGATCTGACACCTTCACACAGACATACATGCAGGCTAAACACCAATGCATACAAAAATTACCTCCCCCCAAATTTTTATCTTTCAAAAAATTGTGTGTGTGGGGGGAGCGAGAGAGAATGGGAGAGTAAGTGAGAGAGCACTTGAGGATATTGGTGTCCATGGAAGCTGGAGGCAATAGGGGTGGTTGTAAACCCCTGGTATGGATGAAGGGCATCAGCTGCGGTCCTCTGGAAGAGCAGCCAGTGCTCTTAACCCCTAAGCCCTCTCTCCAGCCTCCATGTTCTTTCTTAGTCCCTTAAAATCACCCTAAATACAAAGTAGTTTGAGCTCTGAGCTCATCCCACACAGTGCATCTCAATATAGTTCTCTTTGAGTGCTCTGGAAGCCAGAGTCAAGGGATTGAAATCTTAAAAATCTTGTGTATCTTTCATTTTGTATGTGCATGTGTGGGCATGCCACACTGGGTGCTTGTGGGGGTCAGAACAGCTTTTGGTACTTGGTCCCCTCCTTCTACCTTGTAGATCTGGGGACCTAACTTAGGCTTGACAACTTTTACCACTAAGCCATCTTGCAGGCCAAGCTTGAAGTCTTGCAGCTGAGATCCGAGGGAAAGAAAGTTCCAAATCAAAACAAAACAACAAGAGCCTTTGTCTTTTCATCGATGATAGGAAAATTGTCTTTTTGTGACAATCAGAGCTTGTTCATGGAGGAATGGAGATCCATTTGAAAAGGATTGGGACCTAAGAAAGATCTCTTCTTTCTAACCCTATGTAAGAGAAATCCAAATAGAACATCCTGGGCATTAGGACCCAGTGGAAATGGCTTGTCTTGACTCTCGGTTAACTTCTGTCAGTGACGTGAGGCAGACCTAGCTCATTCTTCCCCGCAGCCGCCCCCCTCACTCACTTACACACTCTCTCTCTCTCTCTCTCTCTCTCTCTCTCTCTCTCTCCTTTTCTCCCCTTTCTCCTCCCCCTCCTTTCCCTCCCTTCCTCTCTTCCCTCTTCTTTCCCCCTCCTACCTCCCTCTTCCCTCCCTCCCTTTCCTTCACTCTCTTCTTTCTCTCTCTCAGCTCTCTAACAGTAAAGCAAAAATGCTGTTATCAGTGACTTCCCGGCCTGGGATTTCGACTTTTGGGTATAACAAGAACAACAAGAAGGTAGGAAACCGCTTTTGGGGAATCCAGCTACTTCCTCTCCTAGGGATCCGGGAGTGCCCTTGGTTTAGCATTCTCCTTTAAGAGGGGAACTAGATTCCTCTCTCCCCTTTCAGAGCCTCTCCTACCACTTCCCTTGCCTTTTTGCACCTGGTTCTGGAGTTAAAGGAATTTAGAGCCAGGGTTTGTGAGGCTGGAGAAAGCTGGGGGAATTAAAAACAATCAACTTTGCAAGTTTGTGTCTTGTGTAATGAAGTTAGTTTGTTTGACTGTCTGCCGCCGCCGTGTGTCATCCCAGACCTTGCCCCTGGGCTTCTCTCCCCTCGAGATTATTTTATCATTTTGGTTAATTGTGTCTACCCTTACCTCCATCCCACTTTCCTTTTTACTCAAACCAGATAGCTGAAATCACAGGCAGCTCATCAAGAATTGAGTGCGTGCTTCTTGACTAGAGACCCTACCCTACTCTACCCTACCCGTCCTGGCAGAGGAATTTGGGGAGATAACATGCCTTGGGATTAAGGCAGAGGGCTCTGTGACTCTTTGGGTCTTGCCTCCTGAGCGGTTGCTTGGAACCCTGCAGATAGCCAGACTTAGCAAGGATCATTATGATTAACCCATGGTTGCCTGAGAAGTTAAGCAATGGTTCAGTGAACTGACAGCCTGGTGAGACAATCTTGCCCTTCTTTGCCACAGAATATCCTTGGCAGTTTCTTGGCATTTTGTGTCTTGCAATGCTGGAGAGGAGACTTTTCACTCACCCTGAGCATAGTTGTCCAGAGATCCATGCTTAGCTTTTCTGGTGGAATGTTGGAGGCAGGCGGGGAAAGACCTCAAGAGACAATTTCGGAGACTCAAACACTAGTGTCTCATCAGGGCAGTACCCTAGTGGGTCTTAGTTTATGTGGCATTCATTCTGTTTATATGCTTAAGAAATAAAACACTACAGTAGGCAGGCAGTGGTGCAGGCCATTAGTCCTAACACTTAGGAGGGAGAGGCAGCAGGTGGATCTCTGAGTTCTGAGTTCAAGGCCAGCCTGGTCTACACAAGGCAGACCCAGAAAAACCCTTTTTCCAAAAAAAAAAAAAAAAAAAAAAGAAAGAAAGAAAGAAAAAAGAAAAGAAAACAGAAAGAAACCTGTGCACATATTTTTGATTATATTATATTATATATGTCATGTATCAATATGTATAATGTATAGACTGATGTTCTATACAGGGGAGAGGGGAATAGTCAACCTATCTTTAGTCTCCTCAAATCTATATAGTACTATATAAAAGTTTCCTTCTCTTTTTTTTGTAAGTTTGGGGCTTTGAGATGTTGCCTCCCTCTTTACCCCAGGTTGGCCTGGAACTTAACTCTCTATCTCAGGCTGGTCTCCAACTCACAGAGATCTGCCTGCCTCTGCCTCCCAAGTGCTGGGAATAAAGGTGTGAACCACCACTGCTGGGCTTGTTCCTGATTCTTTTTTCATTCAAGTTTCTTGGGATACCCACTAAAATAAAACCAAATTAACTTTCTGTTTCAGGGGTTCATGTATTTGAATATATCTAAAATGTCTTGTCTCAGCTCTCCATTCCCTTTGGATAATGAGAGATGTTTAAGTTTAGATTCTGGTTTTTGTTTGTGGGGGAGGACGGAACGTATGGAACGTATGGCCTTGCACATGCGAGACAGGCAACTAAGCAAACCGCCTAATGTTTTAGATTCTTCGAGTATGAGAGTTCGGACAACAAGAGATAGGACTGTGGGCTTAGATTTAACCTCCTATCTCTTCCTGATAACTTGTGAGGTCTGGGTGGAGAGCAGGGGAAGCATCTGCATTGTCACTAATATACTTGTCAAGAAATCTTTGATGGCTGGTGAAATGGCTCTGTAGGTAAAAGTGATTGCCACACAAACCTGATGACCTGATT